TAGCGCTTGAATGTTAATTAAGTTATAACAATTAAATTAGGTATATCTGAGGTTATCTCGCGTAACAGACGTGTGGGTATAGACCATTTGTTTTTATTACCAGTAAGTCATCTGTATGCAGTAAACATCCTAAGTTAGTATCCTTTTAAATTGAATTGCCTTACGTAAACTATTCATTTATGATAACAAGGCCCTAATTCCCAAAATTATATTTAACCTCGATGTAATTCACGGTAACCCGGATCATTCGCGAATTTATTTAGCTTATGCTGAAAACCTCCGCGCAAACGCGCCACTCGCACCGCACGCTAAGCGTCCGTCTGCATTTCCACAGCTACACTTCACGGAACAACTGGTGCTCTTCACGATTCTATCACCGACATTCCTTGCCCGCAGGTTTGCGGCGAGTCACAGCCGCCGTTCTGCAACGAACGACTTTCTCTCAGACTGCGTTCATCCTTGCCTCCCTGAACCCGGGCACACAATACCAGCGAGAGCCAGTATGGCCTCGTAGGGGGATGCCAGGAAGGGCGCTGGTGGACGGCAGAGGCAGCAGCGACGTTTGACATCCTGCAACCGGAACCTTCCGCAATAGTGTGCATGAACGTATGGAAGATAGCTGATTCCGGCGCGCCGGAACATCCGGTAGTGCTTACCTGTGTTCGTTAACGTGGACAGGATAGCTGCAGGGTTCCTGAACCAGAACCTTCCGCAGACGTGTGCTATGAACCGCATTTGGACCAGGATAGCTGATTCTGGTTCGGGAACATTCCGGTAGTGTGTTCTGTTAACGTTGGACAGGATAGCTTGGTTCTGACCAGAACTTCCGCAGAGTGTGCATGACGTTGGACAGCGATAGCTGTCTCGGTCGGGGAACATTCCAGGTACATAGAGCACTGGGTTCGTAAATTTGGGACACGGATATCTTGTCCGTTGCCGGAACCTTTCCGCAGAGTGGCAGTCCCACGGGACGAAGTGAACGCCTTGGAACTGCAGGAATAGGACTAGTCGTCTAGGGTGGGAAAACCGCAGATCACGAGAAAACCAGCATTAGCGAAAATAATTTAAAACGGAGGATGTCGATCCACCGACTTCAGCCTTGAATTGCATGCTGTCGTCGATAGGTACGTCTGGAGGTGCGACGGAGTTATTGTGTTTAGAATGTATGAATTTGGGGATGTGCGCGTATCGAAATTACGACATCTGCTGACGTGTGGAGCGAACGAAAAACAAGCTCAACGGCGAATAGCAGGCGCGCGGTGCACACGATCCTGAGTTTAGCGCCTATGTTCTGATTTCGACGCGGAAAAATCACGCCGCACCCTACCGTCATGACCCAAGACTATCAGTCCAGGAGCGTATAATCGACAAATACTTAATACACAAATATATACATACAAATATTTTGTCATTATACGCTCCTGATATCACTGATGAACAACCCATAGTATTCAACGATATATATGATTCATATATACCTATATTGACTGTATAATATAATATATAATATCAGGGTTCTCCTACGTTGCGCAAACGGGCTCGGTGGGGAGGGTGGTCGCGTGTTGCCCGGGCGCGGGTCCGTTTGGAAGAAATAAAAAAACTCCCCTGTTGAATACGCGTCGCTCTCATCTCCGTTATCGCGTCCCTCCATCCACCCTGTGCATTCCCGTTTTGACTTACCGTTCCGCCCCGTTTGCAATTCCACGCAGCACTAACACGAGTTTTCGGCCACATGTGTTCGTTTGGACGCGCGTGCTTTCGGAATCGATCGTCAGATGAATTGTAACGCGACAGCCCTTTTGTGCCCGGTTTGGGAACAGTGGTGCTGTGTGAAGCGCGGTCCGTTCAGCACCAGGACATACCGACGCACCGCGGCCCCGGAGGTGCTCGTTCCGAGTTTCTACGGTTGCTTACCGATAACACACCCTCGTCATGACGAACTGCCCAGACAGCTTAAACAACGGGTATCCCCTACCAATATCCGCCCTGACAACTCGCAACACTACTATAAACCATCTTGTCCACCTCATACACTTTCGATTTCTGCATGGCACCGGGACTGGCGGCTATATCTCAACCTATATATACCACAGACACGGTACCAGTAATCAGCGGTGTCCTATTTGGCTCGTACTGGTCGGCGACCTTACGAGAGGTGCACTAAATAGCGCCGCGTGCAGTTCGTGGCTCGGGGGATGGTGAGCAAACTGGAACACGGCCCAGCCGGGGACCAGACGTCTGCTGCCTGCCGATCACCCCCTAGTTTTCCCCTCCCACTCCCCCCTTTAGTTCCCCCCTCGTCCCTAGTTCCTCCCCTCCAACCATACCCCGGATCCCCCCTGTTTGAATTTCATCCTGGGATGAAACCTGACTAGATAAATATTATATATTATATCATATTATATATATACATATATGATGTCATATTATGCATGATGATATCCAATATTTGTATCACTCAATATGTCCAATATCCAAATGTATCAAATCAATGTAGCATAATATCAAATGATATCATATATTCATGTTATCAGCAGTGCTTAAATACATAAATTTGATACGACTATAGTTTTGACTACACTCGCTTGATGTTAATATGGATATAGGAAGATGATCACGGCATTCAAATGGTCATGACTCATCACATAGTGCTCTCGCGGACTATTAATTTATGATCAATAATGACTAGCCAATAAGTATCGCCGTGCAATACACTTTATCGACGTCCAGTATGGCGGGCGCCAGTATGGGGGCGGCGCCTAACCCATAAAGCCCTAACCCTAATTCTAACCCTATTCACCCTACACAAACTGTTATCTTGTTAGGGTTAGTGTCTAGGTTAGGTTGAGGGTTAGGGGTCTAGGGTTAGAATTAGGGGTTAGAGGGTTTGGAGCGGTTAGGCGCCCCATACTGCGCCCCACTCCCCCTGCCGTCATACAAGTGTCATTTGCACGCCGTCAAAAGTATATATACTATAGTATATATATTAATAAATACATACCTGTATATATATATAATACCCCTACTTAATCAATGATTATAATATTATAAAAGCTCATACTGGGTAAACGTATTTTCTCTAGCGCAGAACCAGTATGGCGGCCTCCATGAAAACATATCAAGTTGTTGGTTATTTCAGATGTTCACAATTTGTGCAACATAGAAATGTTATCACTTCATTGTGTTCGTATTTCTGTACAGGGATACAGTCAAAGAAAGGGGGAACTGAAGAGTTTGGTGAGCGTGCGGTTAATTACAACTAGTTACTAACACTTTAACATCTAGACTAGAGTCTAGAGTACTGCATCCAGGCTTGGTCTCCCTACTTTAGTAAAGACATTGAGCACATGGAAAAAGTCTAACGAGTTAACACTTAGTAACACTAATTACTTACCACTAATGTAATGACAATGTGACATGTGTGACTAGCCCAACCATGCTCTCCGACTTACACGTCGTAGGACTAGGACTCAGGAGCCTGACACCGTCGAACCGAAACACCTGGTTGCTTGAAAACAAACACCGATTTTGTAAAATTTCGTAAATAAAACAATCATATTACCACATTTGACTTTCACCTGTTACATGTTGCAACTATCGCTACACTTCTTAATTACTATTTACCTCAAAATACACGTTAAAATAAGATAATTTCGAACAGCTTTACTTTTGAACATTCTCTTGCGCCGGCTTGTGACCCTCTCGCCAACGTAGTGTTAAGTGAGAAGGGAACTTGTGGCTAATGTGTGACCAAATGCCATTCTATGGACCATGGGTTTGGCATGGCATGGCAACTCACATAACGATTTCACAACATCATCATTTTTACCTGAGTTGGTGTAGTTTAAATTGTATACTCCTTGTCATATTATTTCGTTTGGCTTGCTAATGCTAGTTCCTAATTTACAATATTTGCGACAGAAAGCCTGCAAGGGAAACGGAAATGAAAGGTGTCTTCCCCCAAAGTTTCAAGCGGCAAACATAAAATCAGGCAAAAATGAATTATTTTAACATTGCATGTTTGTACTTGCCTATATATGTGTTAGGTAAAAAAAAAATTGCTCAGGAATACGTTCATTCAAAGCTTTTATACTACAAAGTGAAAGTGTCTGGTCGAATGATTCAAACAGAGTTTACTTTTGCCACTCTGCGGCGGTGTTGTGACACGTCTCTTGTTGCCATGCGGTGTTGCCAAGCGCTGAAGGTCATGAAGGCTGCATATGCTCATAGATATCATATAACACATGTGTTATATCAGGGTGGTCCACAACCTAAAATTCAAACATGTGAAACTGGGAAATTTAGAGGAGTACTTTAGATATTATGTGAAATGGAGCGCACATCACGAGCGCGAAGCACGAAGTCACTTGCGGCCGGGATCCAGTGAAGCTCAGGGGTTTTATTGTTGCGATACGAGTTGCTGACAAAAATCGATAGTGTAAACGCAGCATAACATCCTTTGAGCCATGATGTATGCTATCGCACGACATTCTCACATTATATTTTCAAAGGTCGCCGAAAAAAGCGGCCCGCGAGGCACGCGTCTGTGGCTGTGCACATCGATGCTGCATACATGCCTGCTAGCTGGGGGTGGCATTGAATGAAGTATGGGGGGGGGGGCACGATTGTTTCAGTCGCGTGGTGCTAATCACTACTAAAATGTAGGGGTTGGGCACGGCTGGACTATGAGAGAGCGACAGCAAAACTCTTTCCTGGAATTGAGGAAAAAGCTACAATCGGGAATGACACACGAGTGTGCCGGCACGCAAAAA